TGATTCATTCCATAGTTCACAAACGTTTGCTGGATTTAAGTATTTAGTATCACTGATGTATAAATTGACTGATAATGATCTCATTCTTCTCTTTCACATCTACGTTTCAATATATCAAAGTTCAATTGATATACATCAGTTGATTATGTAAATGATCAATAATGATTCCATTATGAAAGATAGGTAGGTAGATAGACACAACAAGCTGAAGTGATACATAATTCAATGTTATGAAAAAGTACAGAGTTAAGTGGTAGGAAAATGAATATTGGTCAAATGAGAAAACTATATTACAGATCAAAATAACAATGAAAATCAATGAAGTAACAATAAATTAATAGTACAATAACCTTGAGTTCAAAGGACTCACGGCTCATTAGTTTCGGGGAGTTGACTTCCGACCGATGAGTCATTAGTTCGAGTCCCACTCTTCCTACCAAGGTTACAGAAGCCAGATAGTGTATCATTAACTCTCATACTTTAAGTGTGACTGATCGCTTACTGCAAAAATGTGCACAAAGTTGCTGAGCTCATACAGAAAAGAAATCTGGCATACAAATACTCGGGTTCGAAGCCGAATTCAGCATAGAAAGTTTGATAAGATAACAAATTTTCTCGATAGACTTTGAAATACATCCCCATAATAGGCTTTATAGATTAGCTTAGATGACATATTTATACCCATTTTATCTCTCATTTCAATATTGTGTTCAGTGACTGAAGAGCTCCGACGTTTGTTCCCAACATTAATTTCATTAGGTGACTCTATTGGAATGTGTTACACGCCTCTTATTTTTAATAACCGATAAATCCTCCTCTTATGTGTGTGACCACATATACATTTAAATTGGTAAATGTAGTGGGATGTTATGACCCCATCTTTCAACTGTTCCATGGACTTCAATGTGTATAAAAGCTTCGAATTTTCAGTTGTCTGAATCTTAGTTGCATGATATATTTTCTTGATGGCAGCGTTAACTCTCTGTTTGACCATCAAGCTATTCATACCACCAGTGTATAATAGCTTGGTGAATATATCTTTTGTAGGTATAGAGTAGACGATATGTCTCAGTGTTCTGTCCACTTTATATTGACTTATAAACTTTGTTGGTAGGTGTTCTTGATCAGTGCCTCCGTCAATAATCTTGTCTCTTCTTCTAACGTGTTGGTTGCTTACATTCTTTGAATTCTATTAAATAAGTAACATACATAACCTTGTTCAGTGGTTAGTGGAATTATCGGATCCAATCAAAAGACAATACTGTAGTACATATCTTGGAAGATACATTTAAGATAGTATTCATCACGGACTGCCATCAGTTAAAGAACCGTTGAAAATCTGTGAACACTGGACATCTGTTTCTTTCTAGTATGGAATTCCTCGGCAGTACGCTTCCATCAGGAGATCGAACTTAGGACCTTCAGGTTTCATGGTGAACGCGTTCACCATGAAACCCTATGGTTCAAAGTTCCACTCCTAATGCGGTCACGAGTGAGCAGTTTTGAAGAGTCCCATACTAGGATGAAATAGTTATCCAGTGTTCCCAGATTTTCAACAGTTCTCCAACTGATTTTAGTTCGTGATGAATATTACTAAAAAATAAGGTCTGTCAAGTCTCATTGCCATTCAGCTATTGTGTTAAAATTTAGTGGTTCACAGTTTCCAGATTTTCAGTGTTTCCTAAACTGATACCAAATGTGATGAAATCTACAGCATTCAGTTTTTTAGAAGTGGTTGTAAAAGTACCGCCTGAATCTGTCACGTTCTAATCAACCAACTTATTTGATAACTGTGAGTATATATATGGATAACGATAGCTAGTCTCAAGGGGAACTAATTGTGGACCATTATATCTCACTATCAATTGTCTCAGCGGAACAAAGTTGCAGTGTACCAATCAAACTTGTCAATGAATGAAAGTTGGTCACTTCTGTAAAGTTTTTTATCCTTTTATGATAGGCGTGTCATGCATATTACCTCCACCATATCTTAGAGGAATAGGATTGACTGTCTCTATACCCATGTATATCTAACTTTCCATGAATATATGGCCTAAGAATCCCAATGATTCAATTAGGTCCAATAGTTTGACCTACCGAATGCCCTGCGGTGATTCTGCCATCAAATACATAGGTCAAACCAGTTGATCGGAATTACTTGTCGGAACACAGGAGGTGAAGCAAATATAGGATCATACACTCCACTCAGATCAATAATCTAGAAAGGAAACTCACTTACCGCAGTTCGTACGTCGGCATACATTATGTTTATGACGGATAGTGGCTAGCAGTGTAATCCAGGACACGCGTTCTGTCCCATTTAAGGTCCTTCAGGTGGAAGTACATGCATCCCAGTAAGCGATGTTGCTCCACCGGGACCGACCTCTCCATACACCAGGGCATTATCCACTAGACCGTTGAGTCCCGATAGCCACTTCTTGTATGACGGGCACGGTTTTAATGTTGTTCTTTGTATCATCCCGTCGTTGGTTGGACCAAATTGATCGGTCTCTGTTGGCATATGGGCTCCTGCGCGGATGCCTCGATATTGTTTGTCTCTGAGTTATGCATTAGTGATGGGTAGTGGCTAGCAGGGAACCCAGGACACACGTTTCGTCATATTCGGGGCTCATCAGCTGGATGTACGTGCCCCCCCCCCCCCAGTGAGTCATATTGTTCCCACTAGGAGCCTATATGCCAAATCTGATCAAACATTTACTTATCAAGTCAATTTATATAAAACCGAAGAATGAATGGGAGGAACAATAGAACAGTTAAGATAATAGGAGATCAAGAGTACAAAAAGAAAAAGTGACTCGGTTGTTTTTGTACACACAAAGACGATTTCAATTTGCATATGGTTATCGTTTCTGCAAATTTCAGTATACATCGTTGACTATTTCTACATATAAAACTTTGAAAACTGTCTGAACATTTTTTTTACCCGTTTGCACAATATTTTATTGAGGTATAGATAAAGAGAATTGTCTCTGACCAACACCTATCAAAGTTTCACGCTCCATCTCCTCTGAGGTTATTTAAGTACACGTTCTCCCAACTTCAACTGAATGGCTCGGTGACCTTTCTCTCGTGCGCGTGACCACACACATATGGGAAGTGGTAAAAACAAACAGATATGACGTAATCATTCATAAAATGTTTCGGTCCTATGATGAAGCACATGTTTTATCTTTGCTGTGTTCACTGAATCAACACTCAGTACATACGCATACAACAGAAATGATGTAGCACATATTTTCGAAATGTGGAAAATTCTACTACAAACAAAGAATATGATATTGTTGATAATAAGACTATAAAAAGCAGATGTCGAAAGTTGATATGATTATGAACAATACTGTATTCTTGAAACGTCATCCTTAGGTCTTTGTGTTTTCTTCGTTATCAACTGGAAGTTGGGCAAAATCCTAAGTGATTGAAATCAAATGAAAATCTAGTCAGCAACCGGGTCTTGTAGTTTAGTTGGTAGCCTGGAAGTGGGTGGTTTGAATTCTGATGCGACCCAGATTTTCATTTAACCTTCAGCCTTCATCACCCGGTCAGATACAGAAAGAAAAGATCAAAGTAAACCTTCGCACACTGTTGCATAGGCTCAAGTTGCTAAACTTCACAGCAGTATACAAGGAACCAAGACATCGATTTTCAGACATGTCACGAAGAGTCCTCAACCACGAATCAGTGTTTGAGGACTCATCGTGTGATATCCGATTGTCTATTGAGGACCACATGTACTGTACAGCAGTCCACTCTGTTCTACTGTATGGTTGTGAAACATGGCCATTGAAGTTGGATGATATGAGAAGACTTCAGGTGTTTGACGACCGTTGCCTTTGTAGTACAAGCCGTATTCCGTGGTGTCACCAAGTGAGTAAGGCAGACGTCAGGCGTAGAGTATTAGGGAAGAAGAAGAGGTGAGTCAGTTGACATGGTTGTGAACCATCATCGACTAAGATGGTTGGGATATGTGTACGTATGCCTAGTCGCCAATTGCCTCGTCACACAATGTTGGTCGAAGTAGATTCAGGTTGGAAAAAGGCTGTGGGCGGCTAGACTAAAACATGACATGAATGTATGAAGTCTGTGACTGTTGGTTTGAGATATGTAGGCAGATGGAGACTGGGTGGTCAGCGTCTGTGGGACAAGAGGAGCCAGTGGTTGGAGACTGACTGTAGGTGGGTGGTGATATGGCTGAGAACCGATGTCAGTGACGCATATGTATCCACATATACACACACACACACACATTATCCTCATGTTAACGATGCTATACCGAATCTCACCATTTTCTCATTCTTCCCTTCTCTCTCTTTAAGTACTTTATATTTCTTTTGACTGAATTTTCTTATCTTCATCTTCCACTTGACTGTCTTTTTACTTGATGTAGTGATATGGAGTGTGGCAACTCAGACGATCACGCAGTGATACCTGGTCCGATGTTGACTTCGATGGATGGACGGATGAACCACCGATTCGTATAGTTTCGGTGACGCGAGTCAGGTAATAAACCTCTCCCTAGACGGCTAAGACCAACAGTCGGAGTTCATGGACTGATGCCGCATCCTGGTCTCTCCACCTTGAACCCTTTTTTAACGTAATCTAACTTTCTTTAGTATTGCACATCGAGGTAGGCCGTGGCTTGGCATGTGCCACACATATCCAGGTCTTCTCAGTCGACTAAGTTTCATAATCTCATCATTCGACTTGTCTGTCTTGCCTAGTATTCTTCACCATGATCTCAACATTGTTCACATTGTGATTCCACTAAATGTGAGCAATGCTATGAAGTCATCTGTGATCATCACACAGTATCAATACAAGTCTGTCATATCATAGCCATCTCAGATGATCAAACTGAAAATATTATTATATCACTCACTATCTGCTACAGGCTACATCAAATAAACAAATTATATATAGAATTTAGTTGTACTCACGTGTTAAAAGTCTTTGGTGTATTTTCTTCTCTCTTTTCTTTCCAGTTCTTCATCTCTTCAGTCAGTTTCATCAACCAATTCAACAAGTCAACTATTACATCATCAAAAAGCATACTATATAAAATTGACGATGCTAATTGAAAATTTTTTCAGTCATTTCTCAATCCATAATTTTGGTTGTATTTATTCATCAGCTGGTCGGACAAATAAGTCTGTGGTTAAACTTGTAGACAATGAAGATTCTCAATCAATCTCTGATCAAACACTTCAAGGGATTAATAATTTTTTCAAGAATCTTTCTCTGATAGTTATAATCGATATGATACATATCTATTGTATTACAGTGGACCAGATAATAATCAAGGCGATTGGGTATTTGAAGGTTTGTCTTGTTTTTTTTTTTTACATACATACACAGAGGTACATCCAGCTGATGAGTCTTAAGTAGGACGAAACACGTATCCTAGATTCCACTGTTAGCTATCATTATCCAGCAAAGAATCGGTTAAACAATGTGATGAATAGTCAGTTCGAATACAAAACTGTCACATTGATTATTTGTTAAGTGGAATCGATAAAAATAACAGCTGAAGAAATCTATTTCAAATTAGTGTGTAGAAGTGATATGTTCTCAACTTCATCGACTTTGAGAAGGCCTTTGACAGCGTCGACCGAGAAGTAATTTGGAACTGCTTCAATACTACGGAGTACCACAAACCTTTATCCGCCTCATTCAACAACTATATGAAGATGCCACATGCCAAGTAATCCACAATGGGAAGCTCAGTGATGCTTTTGAAGTGAAGACAGGAGTGAAACAAGGTTGCCTACTATCCCCCATGATATTCCTGATTGTGGTGGACTGGATCATGCAGCAAACAGTGTGGAGCGAGAAGAGGGGATACACTGGACGACGGAAAAGAACCTAGAAGACTTGGATTTCGCCGATCACTTGTGTCTGATGTCACATAAACTTGAAGATCTGCAGGCAAAAACTAACAAGTTGATAGAAGAGGCAGGGCAGCTAAGACGGGACTTCAGGTGAATATAGAGAAGACAGAAGTGATGAAGATACCGCACCACCACCATCAACAACAACAACAAACTCCAATCACCGTCAACGGGAGAAACTTGAAGGAAGTAACCTCCTTCAGTTATCTAGGAAGCACTGTTTCAACTACAGGCGGGACGGACGAGGACGTCAAAGTCAGAATCGGAAAAGCAAGACAGGCGTTCATTAGCCTGAAACCAGTGTGGAGATCTTCTGCACTCAGCATGTGGAACAAGATACGGATTTTCAACACCAACGTCAAGTCAGTGCTCTTGTATGGCTCAGAGACTTGGCGCGTCACGAAAAGCATTTCCAATAAACTACAGACATTCATCAACAACTGCTTACGCTGGCTGCTGAAGATCAGATGGCCAGAAAAAATAAGCAACAAGGAACTCTGGGAACGAACCAACGAAGCAAGAACCTATCACGCAACAAATATGCAGGAAGAAGTGGAGATGGATTGGCCATGCACTGAGAAGGCCGACTGAGGACATCACGCGTCAGGCCAGTTACTCGAGTGGAATCCCCATGGGAAGCGACGAGTTGGACGTCCGAGGGTGACATGGAGGAGGTCATGCGAGGAGGAAATGAGAGGTTGTGGGCTGTCGTGGAACCAGGTTCAAAAGATCTCAGAGAACAGAGGTCACTGGAGGCGTGCTACTGAAGCCCTATGTTCCACTAGGAACCCAAGGGACTAATAATAATAATAAATAATAGTGATATGTTACTATTCATTCCAGTTTTGACGGAACCCTATTTGGTGTAAAAAAACAACTGCGTGAATATCTTATTTATATGATGGGAAAAACTGCTAGCCTACTTCCAAATTTCTACGAAGGTTCCGTGCTTCTTAGGCTTATGGGTATGCACAACTGAAGTTCCTCGAAAAGCGGCAAAACATCTATCTTGTGTTCTAAGGTTCCCAATACTCCTTTAATTGATATCTATCTGTAATTAAATCGATAAATCCTGCAAAACTACTCAATTCAATTAGAATCCATCAGTACAAGGAGTACCTCATACTTAGTAATCTCACAAACTGTTCACCGTAATGCGATTCATTTAGCGTCAGGTGTTAAAAGGCACTCAATAACAAATCAATAGGCCTTTAATTCATTCTTACTGACTAATCTATCGGATTAATAACACAGAACGCCCTGGTATTCATCATCATTGTGTCTGTGTTTTGCTTAACATTGATATCTGTTTGGTGTACAAGCCTAACAGTTGGAATTAATATCCATACGGTACTACCTGGTTGCTTGCGTTTCATTTGATGAACCTTAGAGTTACTGCTTGAAAATCGAGGGTCTAAGCCACTGAATTACACCTCTACTATTGTCTGTCGCCGACTTATTCATGAAAGAGATCCATTTCAACCAATCGACTTATGATTTCAATCTTATAGAGAGTTTGAGAGTATCTTTTCTGTCACATAAACACTTCTCAGCAGTTTTATAGTAATGATAGACAGTGGCTAGCATTGGAATATAGGACGCACGTTTTATTCTGTTTAGGACTCGTCAGTTGTATGTACCTGGATCTTAGTGAGTGCTGTTGTATCCACTAAGACTCGAGCTCGGGGCCGGTCACTTGAAACGCCTGAGAGTTATTCACTTGACCACCAAGTCACGATAACCACTTCTTGTGCGATGGCTATAGTTTTTATGATGCCAATATAGACCGATCAATTAGGCCCAATCAACGACAGAATAATTCAAGCAACATCATTATCTATCTTTGTTTAATGAGCCAGTACTTGGAATATTCTATTCTCATCTTTCCTTCCATTTTCTTTTTTTTTAGATGACAGTACAATCAGTCTAAGGGATATCATCAACTTGTGGGAAGTATCATGTATGTCATTGAAAGTTAATCAAACTAATACACGCCTTTTAATACTCCTGGATACTTTACACTCTGAAGAGTGGTATAAATCGTTGATTAAATCGGATACGCAATGTTGTATAGCATTACAATCGGCTATATCATTACCAGATACAAGCAACATACGGCAGTACGATTCACTAGATCCCTTCATTGGCAGATTACAGAATTATGGATCAATTTAAATACGAAAGCAATTAGTAGTCGGTTGTCTGCGAAACAACTTCATCAGAATGTCAAACTTTTATCACAAGTAAGTTATACAATCAATAATAAAAAGCTGTTTCATGTAGCTTTCTTAGTGACTAACAGTCGAATGGGGAGGGTGTATGTTTCATTCTGTCCTGACTCATCAGTTGTATGTATCCACGTCCTAGTAAGATTGGAACACAGGACTTATCGTTCTGAACACTATCTCGTTATACTTTAAGCCAATGATTTACAACAACCGTTATCTTGTTCAACTAGTAGAGGTTATCACTGGAATTGTATGTCTGGAATAGTTTAGACTTTTCGTGCATGTACTCATGTTATAACGCTATGTTCTGTGATCAATTCTCCGCTTTTCTATATAAACACCCGAATCTGTACCTTTTGACTGGTTTGAGGTGTTCAGGCTTTGCCTGATGGGTTTGAATTCTGCTTCATTCACTAGAATTCAAGAGTATTCAGGCAGCATTATAAACTGTCTTTCGATAGTTGTGTCTTATTTATTGTCTGGTCCTGAGACTTGCGTCTGACTTCGAGATTATTCCTTAAAGATTAACAGGGGAACAGGTGAAACGTTCCTTCATACTTCTTGAATTATAAGAAATTGTATGGGCATTTTATTATTCAGAATTACCACCTTCTTTCTTATTCGTCAGATGGATGTACCTGCCTCCCAGTAACGGATGTTGTTCACGTGAACATTCGAATCCTGAACCTCTGCAAATGCGAGATAGTTATCCACAGAGTCGCGCTGGCCACGTGTTGTACGACGGGTATAGTATAGTTTTAATGTTATAGCTTGTAAATCTCCGTAGCTGATTGGGCCGAATTAATTTGTCATTAGTGATGTATGGGCTTCTGTGTGGTTGCCTCGACATTCTCAATATTTTCAATTTTGATAACGCTCTGGTGTTTGAAGTCTTTGGTGCGGGGTTTAAGTTTCAGTGAGAAACAACACCACTCGTTGGGGTGCAAGTACATCAAGCTGACGAATCCCAAATAGGAAGAAACGCGTCACCTGGACTCCACTCTTATCCTCACTAGTTATCATTATTATCGAGACTGAAAATATCGGCAATATTAAGGGATCTTCATAGGGGGCCATATGCCAATGGTGGTCGATAACTTCAGTTCAATCAACAACGCATATTCAAGGGAAGAATTCACAGCCAGATAATCTTCAGAATCATGGATTTCTCTGCAACATTGTCATCTATATTGTCAAACCACTTGACAGCAAATATGCAGGTTGAATTGTAAACTTTTCAGTCAATGTGGTAGTTCTTTCGATGAGATTTTATATCTACGTTGACTTCATGTTCGTTAAAATGTTTATATTGTGCATTTTGTCAAGCTACAATTTGGACATAGAATTTTCACTAGATATACCTACACTTAAGTGAATGATGATTTTCATAAAAATTGGCTGTAAATTGGCAAACCTCATAGTTCATGATTACAATTTCAATCTGCCGTGTTGTTGGTTCCTTGGAAAAAAAGATGATGATGATGATAATGACAAAATCGGTAGTAGGTGTCTACTCTCATGGCTATTCGGGAGAAGTTGATCACTATCCTAATCCTTATTACCCTACTTCGTGTAATCAATTAAGATATTTTATTATTACTCCTTTGTTTAAACTGTAAACGATGAATTTCTATTAGAATCTGTTAATTTTGCTACAGAAAGCAAAACTTTCAGACACAATCATCCATCCATCGAAGTCAACATCGGACCAGGCATTACTGTGTAATCGTCTGAGTTGCCACACTCCATATCACTACATCAAGTAAAAAGACAGTCAAGTGGAAGATGAAGATAAGAAAATTCAGTCAAAAGAAATATAAAGTACGAAATGAGAGAAGGGAGGAATGAGAAAATGGTGAGATTCGGTATAGCATCGTTAACATGAGGATAATGTGTGTGTGTGTGTGTGTGTGTGTGTGTGTGTGTGTGTTCGGTTCTCAGCCATATCACCACCCACCTACAGTCAGTCTCCAACCACTGGCTCCTCTTGTCCCACAGACGCTGACCACCCAGTCTCCATCTGCCTACATATCTCAAACCAACAGTCACAGACTTCAAACATTCATGTCATGTTTTAGTCTAGCCGCCCACAGCCTTTTTCCAACCTGAATCTACTTCGACCAACATTGTGTGACGAGGCAATTGACGACTAGGCATACGTACACATATCCCAACCATCTTAGTCGATGATGGTTCACAACCATGTCAACTGACTCACCTCTTCTTCTTCCCTAATACTCTACGCCTGACGTCTGCCTTACTCACTTGGTGACACCACGGAATACGGCTTGTACTACAAAGGCAACGGTCGTCAAACACCTGAAGTCTTCTCATATCATCCAACTTCAATGGCCATGTTTCACAACCATGCAGTAGAACAGAGAGGACTGCTGTGCAGTACACGCCACTCTTAGTAGACGATCGGATATCGCGGTGGCGCCATAGGTGGGGTAAGTTGGCGAAAGCCTGTCAAGCCTTTTGTATTCGTGCAGAGATTTCATCGGCCACTGGGCCACCAGGGCTGATCCTACTTCCCAGGTAAGTGAAGTGAGTGGTTTGCACACTCAGTCATATTGACAGGTGACTTTAGTTCTCAAGTAGGGAAGTTGAGCTGATTGGAAAGGTATATTGAGTGGGTTTTCACGGAATACTATGCCAAGGAACCGACAACGGTAATCGTTTCTTACAATTTTGTTCCAACAATCACTTGTTTCTAGTGAGCACTAATTTCAATCATCAGTGGAGATACTGTCCCACATGGTGTTCGCCGGCATCCAACCAGTGATGGACACAGATAGATCATATTGCTGTAAGCCGTTGTTGGATAGGATCGGTGAAGAATTGTTTCTCTTTCTGGAGTATGAGTTTGGATTCCGGTCACATGCCAGTACTAATTATTACAACTGGATCTCAAAAGGCTTTTAACTGTCTGAAGTGACTGAAGAAGGAGAACCAGATGTAATAGTAATAGTTGTAATGATAAAAGAAGTTGGTCTTTGAAAAACAGGATGTAGAGATATATTCCTCCCTACTTCTTTATTTTATGGTTGTTCAGTTAATAATTGAGGTAACTCAACCCGGTATAAGTTCATGTGCTGGGCTATGAGTCGCACTGATTGGTTAAGCGCTTTATAATACTTTCCAGTTATCTAGGTGTAACAGATTTTACACTCGAAACCGACTACTTAAAAATCGAGTATCTAAGTTATTGAATCACATCACCATCCTTCTGTCTCTGCGTGATATATTCGTCTTGACACCTATTTCATACTGAGCCTGTGTTTAAATTAAAACGAATTATGTAAGAGACGGAAAGAAATTACAGTAGGATTGAAATAGTTCTAGTTTCTAGCTATATTTGATAACCTCTCAAGTTATTGAGTCACACTCTCTGGAGTTCCACTGAACAAGTTGTGATACAGATATAAATGCTTTTTCAACGGAAATATATTTCGATCCATGGTACTTTAAAACAAAAACCACTTCTAACCTATTCCAATTTCATAGAGGTTGAGAACTCTTGGTGACATAACTGAAAGTCGATTACAGTGGTGCAATTGTATTCACTCCTTGTCGTCTTCTGAAGCTTAAATACTTGCGCTAACCGTTAGCTTCAAATTGTTTTATCACATAACTTTGTCTACTTTGACATCAATCTTTTTCGATCCACTTGTTTCTTATATACTACTGTGAAATGTGACAGCTTGAGCGGGATACATTTGTGTACGAGGTTTTACGTTGACCCTGTCTGTCTGTCTGTCTGTCTGTCTAACTTAACTCACGTAATTGACACATGTTTGTGTTTGTGTTATATGTCTCATATATAAACGCTTTGAATCAGTCTAATCATGACTAAAAACGAATTATTCAACAAGATATTTATAATGTAATTTTATATTCATCGAAGACTGACATCAGTTGGAGGAACAAAGGAAACCTGGGAGCACTGGACAGCTGTTTCGTCCTAGTATGGGACTCCTCAGCAGTCAGTCTTCGATGAATAACAACTTGAAATATTTCCAAATCTCCACAACCCCCTCAAAATGTAATTTTATATATAAATATTTTTTTCCCAACTTATTTCAGCGGATACAATTCGTCTATTCAACTACTTATAATTGGTGCAATTTCTGTCTTCGTCAACCATCAGCACAGGAGATACATAATTATTGGAGAAGTGCATTCCCTTGGTGTTTTCATCTGTTATGTTACATATTTATCACAGTATTTCGTTACAAGAATAATAACTTCCAGTCTTCATACATGTCCAACTCACTGATAACCACTTCGGTAGCTATGACTCATCCTTGGTTGATTTTTGGAGTTTTTCGTCAACTGAAAAAGATTATAGCCTATGTTTACCATAAAATACGAGATCAGTATAGACAGAATTATTTCAGGTATGCATCACCGACCATATTAGAAACAGATCATGGATTCTATTTGATTCGTACGTAAAAATGTTTCACATTGGTTACTTGCACGTGCAAACACACATGCACACGTGTATTGACTGATATTCACTATACATATAATTAACTTTTTCATATCATCCCCGATTCATATCAGATGCATTTTTTAAAACAAATTTTTGTTTTCATATTTAATCTAGCCAATCAAGAGAAAAAAAATGAAGTTTCTAATCATATTCAACTGCTTCTGATCAGCCTTAGCTTAAAATTTCGGCAAAATCTGAGGTATACTGGTGAAACACTTGTTCCCTCAAGATCCTACGATGTCGAATGACCAGTAGTGCCACGCTAATGCTGCCTTCCCTATGGGAAGGGGGATATTAGGAAAGGTCGACGCTAAAATTAGCATAATCCTGTCTATCCTATAGCATGCCGGTGTTGATGATACAGGCTCATAATCGGATTTACAAAAGAACCCCAACATTTCACACCTGAAAAAAGGTCGTATGTAATCGGTCTCGAGCAGATTCCCTTTCTGCTCTGCAGCCATGTACTAGCCTTCTTCTTCAGGCACCTCAGGAAAACCTAGCCTTTCAATATGTGAGCAGCTGGGAAGTCTCAACTAACGCAACAACTCTGTCAGTACACAAGTTCCTTTAGATCACTGTCTACTTTCTACGTCCTTAACTCCTAATCTTCCTTCACGTCTTTCGGTCAACATTTCTATATATCATCTTTAATTTTTCCCAGCTCTGCAGCTCTTGGCAACGGTCTGAGTTCGCGGAACACCATCACTGGTCTCCTGAAACCTCAATCTTAGCTACACATAAAGGCTTTCATTGTCCGCACCCGCCTTCAAATCGACCAACAAGCTTTATTGGCTAAAAACTAGCAACTCGGGCCATGGATGTGTGCTATGTTTGTAGGATACGCTTACGGGACCGAAGTGTGGTTATTAACTTGAACTCACTCGATCAATATGGTGAATCCGCGAAATTCACCCTTAGAGTTTCTGGGAATTCATTGACCAATTCTTGTGGTCTCGCAGGTGTAGGCTGAGCACTAAGCATTAGTTCAGAAAGCTCACTAATTGAATAGATCCCAGTTGTCAGTCACCTATACACTTTTTGACTGAACGGTGTATTGAGGACTAAAAAGAACAATGATACTCACCGTTGTCTTTTGTGGTCTCTCCTTAAACATCCACTGAATGAAGTTCGAAAGAAGTGAAAAATGGGTTCTATCGAAAATTCTCAAGCCTCCTACTGAAAGCCAAACGCTCAAATGTCTGTGTCATGAAATGATCTAGGTACTTAAGTGGGTGGTCTAAGTCATATAGAAAGACAGTTTCAGAATCTAAGCCAAATGAACAGGTAACGATAATTGCCTACTACAACTGTGTTGATCACAAATAGACCTTATTACTAACAGTTATCTGTGGAGGAGGTCAATTGAAGGTTGCCACTCCTTCTAGAACACATGTTTGGAAGGCGATCAGGTGTTTGTTCGAGCATATGTATGTCTGTGTTTAAATGGACGTCAAGAAGATTCAGAAACCAGGCCATTTGCAGTGCAGCCTGATAATGAGAATACTAAAGTTTATGTAAATGAGGAACCAGCCAGACAGTGTTGGGAACACATTCATGTCACTCATCTGGAAGACACTTGGCATCATTTCCAGTCTACCGTAGAAACAGTATTGAAGACCGTAATTGACTCTGAGAAAGAGGTAAGTAAGCGTCAGTGTATCTCAGTAACTTCTCAATTAGTGTATGGGCATATACGCATTTCTGTAGACCCTTAGCACAATCACGAGAAAAAGAAGCTTAAATATTGACTGACAGGAATTAGATAGAAACAATTGAATCTAGGACTGGTCACATCGTCAGCTGAAGAACATACAGGCAGATAAACAACAACTAATGTAGGTCCTCGCACCGGTTCAAATCGCCACATTTCACAGCAGCATGGTAAGAACAAGTGGATAGAAAATGATTGATATTAAAGTTGTTTGAGATGTTTGAAGATGATATGAATAATCAAGTTTTAGAAGACGTCAAAAAGGAAATAAATCTGCACCACCATAACTGGTCTTCAGCCATATCACCAAGACTTCTTAACCACTGACTCTTATTGTCTCGAAAGCCCCAGCGAGGCAATTCTGCACCTCTCTTCATCAGGACAAGGGAAGTAGAATTTACCACATATCTGAGACAGGTGCAGAATCATTTCGATTACTGCATGTAGTTGGTGTTGATTCGATAACACAAAGACTCGACTATCAATCTCTCCACTTAACTAAATTCTTTCATACTGTCACTCTATCCCACTCTACTATGTGATTATGTGTCATCGTATGCAGAGCTATAGCTGAGCTTTTCTTTAGATTTCTTATCTTATTAGGATGTAGTAATCTTGATTTAACGAATGTTTATGTTATAACTGGGGGGAAAGAAGATATCACTTGATTATGTCGAGTTAAACTGCACGTACACTAGAATAGGTGTACGTAGTTTGATGTAATAGTTGATACAACTAGATAGTGACTATGCACAAAGTCAAATTGAACAGATATCTAATGACTAGATCGTTGGTCAAATGACTATGTGTGTGTGTGTGTGTTCAGTTATTAAAAGAGGATTATTAATGCAGTTTTTTCTGTTTAAAAATCACTTAGATATAAAAATTACTTTAAACAGCGTAATGAGAAGACGAAGATTATCTGAAACATGTGATGTATTAGCGCTATACATTTCGAACAATCTGATCACACATGGACTTGTCGAACTATTTATATGAAAATTTACGAAAAGGTCAATGAAGTTAATGGGAACATAGGAATAGGAAGGGATAGAAAAGGAAAACCTTATTCTTGGTATGAAAATTAAAGTCAATACTACCAAGGTAGGTTCAACGTGAGTACAAATTGTTTTTGTATACATAAAGGGGTTTAAATTTACGGATGGCAAGAGCTTCAATAAATTTAAGCACTCGGCTCTGACCACTTTTATGTAGTACTTTAAAGGCTGTTTTCATGTCTATCCTATGGTTAGTTTCTAGTATATGTTTAGCGATAGACGAAGATAGATGTTTGTCACCTGCACTTATCTGATCTGTTGAGGTCATTTGTTTTTGTAGCCACTTAGAGGTACATGTTCAGCCTACCTTAACTGCATATCACGCTTACTCCTCCCTATATGTATGTCCACACATACATGTAAATTGATAAACACAGTGGGATGTAAATTTTCGTAAATTTTCATATAAATAGTTCGACAAGTCCATGTGTGATCAGATTGTTCGAAATGTATAGCGCTAATACATCACAACATGTTTCAGATAATCTTCGTCTTCTCATTACGCTGTTTAAATTTATCAAAGGGACCAGTTGCTTTAAATAAAAATTACTATTAGGATAACATATCTCTGAACTGTTTATCAGACAGTTAAAGCGAACATGAATGTTCTAGTAAGCTCTTGACAATCTCTTATCAATAACAGATATAAATTATATGAACTATGATGAAGACTTGACTGAATAGTATAGTAAATATTGTGTGCTGAGTAGAAGGTTGACATTAGACATAGTTTAGTTTTTATTTGTGTAAATCACAGTGTGTTTGAAGTGTGGTTGAAGCTTCTCCAGGGGGAAATAATCAAAACTCAAAAATATATAAATGAATCCAAAGGTATTGTACTTAATTGCCTTGTAGAATCCTCTTGGGATAGTCATAAATCTTTGATTATTTATTATTGCTTTGAAGAAATTTGGACTAGATTTCCGTACGAAACAACGTTGAAATCATTTCATTTGAAATACACTATGACCAATACAAAGTGTATATAAGAAAACAATTGAAACACAGTACACATATTTCTTCAGGTGTGTACCAATGAAGTAGTAATGAAATGTTATCAGATGTTTAGCGTTTAGAGCATGATCGGTCTGCTGTAAAAAAATGTGTGGAGAAAGAATTACAAGTATTTCAGGATAGTTTAAGAGAAAACGGATATTCAAAGAAGTTTATATAAAAGCAAACATCGTTCATAGTAAGTAAAAAAAAGGAAATTGACAAGTGTGCGTCTGTAGTTTAAAGGAGACACCCTGAGTGAAATTTTATTACAACATCTATCCCGAGCCTTAAGGATGCCTTACCTAGTTTTAGCTCTTCATCATGCGTATATCAATTGAACTGTTCCTGTGTGAACAAGTTCAGTAGGGGGTACTATTACACACGTCCGTCTCAGGATAGGAGAACATCTACCGGTATGGATTGTAAAGGGTGAGATCAAACCCATTAAAAATTCTGTACTAGCACAGCTTTCATTGTGATACACCGCATTTCGAAGACTCTACCCTGTATCATTCATTTACGCATTCTCCATCCATATAGCAGAAGTTGTAGCTATGAGATCAACGAAGTCTGAAATTTGTATTCACAAAGAACATGTCCACACCCTACTGTTCCCTTGACTTTCCATTGACTAAACAGTTCTCTCAACCCTTTTGTTTCTTTTTTAATCTTTCTTTTCGAAATAAAAATAGAGATTATTACTATTAATGCTAGTCTTTTTAACCAGACTTTTCTACCATCTTATTATAATAAACCTTCAAAATTCCTGTTAAATTTTTTTCGACATTATTACTACTCTTAGTATTTTAGTTATTTCACATATTAACCATCTTATAATGACACATATCCACCCGATTTTTACCCTTTTGTATCCGAGATTTCTGCTCGGATACAAAAGGCTCGATTGGCTTTTGCCAATTTGCGCCACCTATAGAGCCGCCGTGATATTCGTTTGTCTATTAAGGGTCGCGTGTACTGCACAACAGTCCGCTCTGTTCTACTGTATGGCTGTGAAACATGGCCACTGAAAGTGGAGGATACAAAAAGGCTTCAGGTGTTTGACCACCGTTGCCTTCGTAGTATAGGACGTATTCCATGGTGTCACCACATGAGTAATGCAGAAGTTAGGTGTAGAGTTTTGGGGAGAAGAGGTAAGTCAGTTGACGAGGTTGTGAACCTTCATCGACTGAGATGGTTGGGACACGTACTACGTATGCCTAGTCACCGATTGCCTCGTCACACAATGTTGGCTGAGGTGGGTTCAGGCTGGAAAAAGGCCCGAGCTGGCCTGGCTAAAACATGGCACCAATGTATGAAGTCTCTGACTGTTGGTTTAAGCCATGTAGGACGATGCAGACTAGGTGGTTGGGGTCCACGGGACAAGAGGAACCAGTGGTTGGAGACCCTAGGTGAGGTGGCTGAGAACCGAAGTCAGTGGCGCAGATGTACACACACATTATCCTCATCTTAACAACGCTATACCGAATCTCACTATTTTGTCACTCCTCTTTCTTTTCTTTTCGTACTTTATATTTCTTTTGACTGCATTCACTTATCTTCATTCTTCACCTCACTGACTTTTTACTTGATGTGCTGATATGAGGTGTGGCAACTCGGACCGTTACGCAGTAATGCCTGGTCCTATGTTGATAATGATGATGATGATGACTTAGGTAAATTCATGTCATTATTCTTTGTACTAATCACTCACTTGACATAATGTACAACCTTGAACTTTATTACTAATTTTCCTTCCTCATAAGTCTGATCACTAATCAATTGACAAAGTTTACACTCAACTTATCACCATAACTGATATACACATATATAAATTACTTCACTATCTACAATCTTAAAGAGTCAAATTACCATTTCATACCCATTACTAAATGCATTTCCCGTGAATTCTGGTCATTGATATACAGAACCTCATGAGAAGTTATTGAAAAGCATATTCCTCGTTTATATTTGACTAACACAAATACAAACTATACCTAATGCGTCTAAGATTGGTATTCTAACCCTCTGTTGTGACAGTTGTATTTACAAAATGCTATCAGCAGTTGGAAATCGTAGCTTATTTAGTAGAACATCGGGTCGGAAACCCTGTGGTCACTGGTTCGAATCCGGTCGCGGTCTAAATTTTCATTTCATATTCAATCATCATCACTCAGTATCAATACTAGTCTACCAAACTATAGAGCTATCTCAGATAGCCAAATGATAATGAGAATGCTATTATTTTATTTCCAGGTCTTTTATTCTATCATCTATTCTGCATAACTTTCAAACATGGTAGACTAAATAACAACAACTTAAAGACTAGATATTATCTGTTGAAATGTTAAAACAACAGGAAAAGATACACTTTTCAATGGAATATAAGGAAGAAATTTGTTATTAACTCAGTTGAATTTCTGTTGACTATAATAAAAAGATGGACTAGCTACTAACGGCCATACAAATATAGTGATATAACAGACTGTTGTGATTAAAACAAAAGTAAGAAATAATAGACGATCTGTAATTTTAGCTATCAACTTCCATTCATATTTGATCAGTTCATGTTCAACTTTCTGTAAGTTAATTAAATCCTTCAATTGATCATTTCCGTTCATATTATTGTTAGAATTAGTAGTAATAAGATTTTGGCGGAAGTTTAAATTTTCATTCAATAATTCAACAGAATCATATACTTCGATTAATGGTAATAAATAATTATGCAATGAATATTCGTCTACATCATCAGTATTGAATTTTGTTCTAAGATGGTTCATTTTAGGATGATAAACTAGATTGTTAGTAGTACTAAGAGGTTCATTAAAGTGATCCTTTTCTTTCAATGACATTGAAGGATATAAGTAATTCCTGTAAGCTGATTGAATTTCTTTGGTTAGTTCTTTATCTTTAGTCAGTAGTTGATTTAACTCAGAAAGTGTTGAAATTTGAGAAGTAATCTTTTGAAGACGATTTTCATGATTGGAATATGGGATTGAGAGTTTTTCTATCTGAAATGACGAATATAAAAGGGATCAAAAAGATTTTCACAATCCACTAACATATGCATTCAATTTCATACCTCAATTTACTACCTTTAGGTAATTATTTTGCTTGCACATACTCCATAAACCAGTAACTAGATCCATCGAGATTTGAATAACGATAGTTCTTATCTCAAGATGACTGAACCACCGATCAAAACTGACTGATAAAATCGTCGACTACTGCTCTCGGCAGTATATATATATATATATATATATATATATATATATATATATATATATATATATATATACGTTACCGTTGGCTTCGTAAACAAGGTTCACGAAATAAACAACATATCTGATCAAGATTTTGGAAGATATATTTGGAAATCTTTCACAATGCTGATAATTTATTCCTTTTCTTCATACCTTCAATTCTGTATGAAGGAAGGCACATTGGATGTATTTTCAATATATCCTGGGTGATGATGACTCGAAGTAAAAATCTGCGCCATGACAGGGCTCGAACCAGCGACTTCCAGGGTTACCAGCCTGGTGCTCTGTCACCCGATCTGCGAGAGCAGGCTGCTAACTAAATCTTGATTTTACTTCAGTCATCAAATGCATGTAGTTACTTTCGTGGGTAGCAAGTCACTAAAGAAGATAGTTTACCAGATTGTTGGAGAGGCGGATAAAGTCGAATTCCCGTTACAGATCAAGAGTTATACTGAATGTCTGGGACCTCCACGGTTTCCCTAAGATTTTTCTTGAGATCCAGTTATGAATCGGAAACCTATAGTCTCTATGATTGCACCATTGGAAGACTCAGAGGGCTGGATATTTGTTTTATCATGGTTTAGTAGTCTTCAACTGTAAATGATAATGACCATGCGAGAGATCGAACTCTAAGACTGTCAGATCTCATTACAATTATGGTGAGTGATGATTGAAGTTGAAATGGAAATTTAGACCGCGGCCGGATTCGAACCAGCGGCCACCTGGTATCCGGCTTGCGATTATACCAACTGAGCTACAAGGTGTGATTGCTGACCAAATTTTTATTTCACTTCAATCACCAAGGATTTTGCCTGACGACTACCATGTGAATTCGTGATTCGTTACTACGGTTTCATTGTATTCACACTGTCTGCCTAGCCACGACCTCTCATCCCAGTCGAAATCTAAGTGAATTATAGAGGGGGAGCATCATATTGACTATCATTTGACTATCTGAGATAGCCATAGTTTAGCAGACCTGCAATATTTATACCGGATGATGATTGATGGTGAAGTGAAAATTTGGACAACGGCCGGATTAGGCCATTTTCATAATACCTGCGAATTCCCAATATATAGTGCAACTATCACGCAATGTTATCAGCATGTCTGTATTCCCAACACCTAACTACATTGATTCTGCAAATCATGACTTTCCATAGGAAATTTATGAAATAAATCTCTAAGTGAATTAATTATAAGTACGTGATTTTTGTCTAAGCTATTCTTTCCTAGACGATTGGTTGATTTCAAGTTATATTTTATTAGCGATTGAAATCATCTATAGAGTCATTAAAAACCTGGGTGAACTCGAGATCTGAGGATAGTGAGCTCAATCTGTCATCTGATCACTGGTGTGTATTGTCTATGAACTATAATATCTATAGACAAACACTTAATCGAAAGAAGTCATAAGATTTACTCCAAAACAGTATTTACACAGGAGCCGTCAGGACCGCATACTGAGGTTCATGAAAGTGTTACATTTCTAACCCCCATTATGTATTCAAAACAAAACAATTAATCCTTATTTCAAACCTCCCCTATTAATCGGATGTATGCAATTACTTAGAGATAGTGGCTAGTAATGTAATCCAGATGACACGTTTCGTCCTGTTTGCGACTCGTCAACTGGATATACTTACTTCCAGGTGAGTGATGCTGTTTTCCGCCGAAGTTCGAAGGCAGGACCAACCACCTCAAACACCAAATTATCATCCACTACATCACTGTGTTATGATAAAAGCTTCTTGTGCGACGAGTATAGCTATAGCTTGTAAATCTTCATCGTTGATTGGACCGAATAGATTAACCAGTATTAACATGTGAGCTGCTGTGTAGATGACTCGATATCAAGATCAAAATTTGACCTAATACAGTTGAATCAGTTGAGCATATTAGGTCAATCAACTATAAATGAAATGTATATATAAAATCTCCTTATTGAGGTAGAAAGATAGGTTTCTAACATTTTACAACCTCATCGACGTCACTTCCGCAATAAACAAGTTATTACATGTCTAGATAGAAAATGGTGACAAATCAGATCATATTGTTCCTTTATATGATAGTAATATGGGAATGTTATCGTTAACAGTTATTCAGATCGATATCTTGATTTCAATACAGTAGATTCACTTAATGCTAAACTTTCACTTGCTCGGAACATATTCAGGAGAGCGACAAACCTCATCACTAGTGGAAATGACAGACAAACGGAAGTAAGAAACATAACAGATATATTACATTCTAACGAATAAGAATAAGTAAGAATATCATTCAAAATATTAGGAAGTATGAACAATTAATACATTAGTTCTACAGTTCCGTTAAGATACAACTGAAGCGTTACAAAGGTTTTCGATAAAACGTTGAATTACAGCCTTCTACAAAACAACTAACACTCTTAGGAATGCATTGATTCACTTAAAAGATGGAATTCCTTTTTGTGCTGACGTAGAATTGTACTTACAGATTAGATTGCGTCGATTGTGTTGCTAAGTATGTTGGTGAATTATTCTGCAAAATCCCCCATTCGTGTGAAAGAATACTCAAGCTACACATAATCACCTCCAAATAATCCTGTAGAACTTTAGAATTTACAAATCAAATCGACAATTGTGGATCATGCCATCTTTTGATAACCCCCAAATCGACACTGAAAAGATTTTCAAACTACAAGGGAAGAGGAGTAGATGAGGTATTTCATATTCGTAATAACACGTTATACACACCAGTCATAACTAAAGTAAAAACACATACACATAAGCTGAATTTCTTACTCATATTACTTTTTGTTGTGATGCCCCAGTTTTGTGTAAGACATTGGTTATTGGCCCGAACATTTTAACGTGTCATCTCTATGCCATTTTTTACGGTATAACTAGAAGTCTATTTCCTGCCCCCATTGTAATGTAAGTCGTTGATTGGTTAGTCTTTACTCTTACCATGCAAATGTTTCAAATTAAGGATAAGATCATTTTTCATATGTGGACTTATTCACGTGTTTTGCGATTGATTATTATATTACATTGTCGGAGTGATAAACTTTCCCATCATCCAGTTTATTTCCAATAAACTACAGACATTCATCAACAACTGCTTACGCTCGCTGCTGAAGATCAGATGGCCAGAAAAAATAAGCAACAAGGAACTCTGGGAACGAACCAACGAAGCAAGAACCTATCACGCAACAAATATGCAGGAAGAAGTGGAGATGGATTGGCCATGCACTGAGAAGGCCGACTGAGGACATCACGCGTCAGGCCCTCGAGTGGAATCCCCATGGGAAGCGACGAGTTGGACGTCCAAGGGTGACATGGAGGAGGTCGTGCGAGCAGGAAATGAGAGCTTCTGGGCTGTCGTGGGACCAGGTTCAAAAGATCTCAGAGAACAGAGGTCACTGGAGGCGTGCTACTGAAGCCCTATGTTCCGCTAGGAACCCAAGGGACTAATAATAATAAATAATAATCATCCAGCTTCGGTCTTCTCTCTATTCGTCCCAGGATTGCAGTTAATGCCTCTTGAATACCTAGTTAACTGTCAGCTAAGCGTGCCTATTATATTCGTTCGGAATATATAATAACTGTTGGCATACAAAAATGTAACACTTTTCTCACATCTTCACATTGAACTCAAGGACTAATAAGTGTTAACGATAACATTTATTCCCATATTATTATCATATAGTGGAACAATATGATCTGATTTGTCGCCACTTTCTATCTAGACATACAATAACTTGTACTAGTTTTATTCTCTGAGGAAGTGATGTCGATGTGGTTGCGAAATGCTAGAAATTTATCTTTCTATGTCATTAAGGAGATTTTACAAATACATATTTCACTTATAATCACAACCGGATAAAATATACATGTTGTATTATACATAGTATAACTTACTATAGAAGACATAGTAGCAGATTTATTAATATTTTCATCTTCGTAAAATATTCGAATTATACCAAGTTGAATGATACGACGTATCCATTTCGGTGCACGTGTTAACTTTTCACCTCTTGAATCCAAATTAATGACAATCACACAGACAACTACTGATCCAGCTGTTAGCGTCATCACTGATGTCATATACACTCCTAAAAGTATTTAAAAAGGATAACACCTAATCATTTGACAATCTAACAGTGTGAATCCCTTTTGTGTTTTGTTTATCAATACTTTTAGTTTCCTGTTTCTCTATTGGGTCAAATTATTCGACCTCTGTTGACAGATGGGCTGGTATGCAGATACCTTGACACTTCCTGGAATTCAGGATGCTCATTTTGTATTGTCTGAGCCTCTTCGACTGTTTGTACCTGGGATGGTCAGAAGGTTCGAATCCCAGTGGGGATAACATCATTCAGTTGACGAATAGGGAGAAACATACGTCCTAGGTTCCATTGTTAACTACTAAGTAGACTACAATATATTGTTATATATGGTATGGAGAAATGGGGCTGATGATTGTTGTTGAACAACGCTTTGCATCACAAATGGGTTCGAACCATTAGTTCTCTTGACTAATCAGTGACACCTAACTTTTAACCAAGTTACGATTCCTCCTCATCTACCATCAGTTTGACTACCCAACTAAATCTCTTCATGTAATCATGGATATGCTATTCAGAGTCATATTAGATTTCTACAATTCAGCCTCATAATAACAGATATTGGTTGACGAGTAACTTTATATACAACGGGTGCTTTATGGAAGATAAAATAAGTTTATGTGATGGAGTTCTATCACTTAACTGAGCTGTCACATCAGGTACTTTAAAGATTCACCGTAGTCGGTGTTGAGCGCTAATAATTAGACAAATACATTGGTTAATCACTTATGACTAATTTGTGCGCTCACTTCAGTTTTAAAATGGTGAACAGCTTACCCGAGAAATAGCTAACTTTACTACTGACTACTGTGGGTTCGAATCAATGAGAAAAAAAGATATTACATATATACGATGGCCGATATCTTTTGACATTAATGTTCAGCAAGTGAGAAACCTATATCCTGTGTTTCCTGTCAAGTAATTCCTACCACTTAACACCAAAATATAGTGTAAAGTAGTGTAGTAATTGTTTATTGGTAGGGTTAGGAGTTTTTGACGAGCGTTTTCAACCAGTCAGTACATAGTGAAGTACATTACAACGTTCGATGATATCATATCTAGCGGTAACAATAAATGATCCGATCAGTGAGACTGACTTAAAGAAGGAAATTTTCTTTATCAAACTGGTATTCCCTTTTCATATCAAATATTTTCAAAGGGGACCGAAAAGGTAAGTCCTAGGTGAAATACTGAAATCAGCTAGATTACCACTGGGAACTAAAAAGTCACTGATATATGCTTCGGAGTAGTTAAAAACTCCCCAACACTGCACATTTACAATCTCCTGATGACTTTTGCCCAACCCAACCAAGTATCATTGTGGCCAAATTACCGTTCGATAACTGAACGCATTTTTCCCAACTTCGTAAACTCAGAAACCTCATGACTGACTTTAAGATGAATTCCTCCTAGTAGTAAGGCGAGATAACTGTAAGGTGAATCAATCCAGATATGAAGACAATCAGTTATGCTGGTGATGAATAGAAGCTGTGCAATTTATCCCATTAGGACTTAACCCAGTACTTGAATGTCACTGTTCTCGCCACACGATTCGATAGTCCCATGTTTGCCGTTAATCAGAGTCCCTGGAGCTGCACTGCTGGTGAGTTATAAATTAGCAAAACACATCTGTCTGGTTCATCCTGGTTCTTAATCCTTCGCTAGATGACGTCAGTACTTGAAGAGAAATGTTTTAAAATCAACCAACGGTACATAAAACTCCAGAATACAAATATTCAGCGGAGAAACAGATTTCCTTCAGAGTTAATTGAAAAACATGGATGAATTATATACAAATCACCTCTTGAATATAACTAGTTTGTATAAAAGCATTCAAACTATCGGGATTGAATAGAATTTAAGTGAAATGAACACCATTGCTTTGATACTTGTCATTTCGTGTTGCTACACAGGGTCAAATTTCTCGACTTCTTTCGGCAGATGGGGTCATATGTGGATACCTCAATACCGCCAGATATTAATGATGCTATATTTATTTTGGTGACTACCTGTGGGATCTAGGAAGCACGTTCTACCGTTAGTCACTAGAATAGAAAAAGACATCAAAGTAGACAAAGTCGTGTGAGAGAATAAAAATTCTGAAACTGAAGGTTAGTGCGGATATTCAAGCTTCAGAAGATGTCAAGGAGTGAATTCATCCGCGTCACTGTGTCCAATCAATTTTCAGCCATGTCACCAAGAGTCCTCAACCACTAGTTCATATGGTCTCAGGGATCCGAGCCAGGTAGTCTGCACCTTCCCACGCAGCTCAGACTAGCAGGTCTTGGTCTTGCCACTCTGAACCTTTTTCCTACCTAAACTATTTTCTTCGAGCATTGCACATCGAGAGACTCTTCGCCTGACCCCAACAATACTCACACGGTGATTTTACCAAACGAGATCAATGCTACGAAGAGATTTCTGATTAAAACCTGTAATTATCTCATATTTTCTACTTTTAACGGTCATATCTCACAGCCGTATAACATGGTAGAACAGACTGCAACCCAGTATACCTGTCTTTTGATAGACAGTAGGATATTGCTTGGATTACTGTTGTATTTATAATCCCAGTTTCTCCCTTTAATTATGTGTATCAGTTTGAGGTTTATGGAGATTTCGTTTATCCCAAGGTAGTATTCATTACCGGTTGGCATCAGCCGACAGAAGTAGGGAACTGTAAACTAATGATCACCTTCTCAGTGACTGAATGGTTAACGTGTTCTCTGTGAGGCCTGAATGTTCCGAGTTCGATCCCCGGTGGGGTCCTGGGTGCATTCTACTGAAGAGTCCCATACTGGGAGAAAACAGCTGTCCAGCAACAAGAAGATTTACAGAAGTATAGGAAGATATACTTACCGATAAGTGGGATATTTTTAGCTGTTGGTGGAACACGTTCAGCTATCAACATCATAAACATTGAAAAAGCTAAAAAAACGGATAAGCCTAGTGTGACTTTCTCTCCCGAATCAACTGGTGTCCAAAAGGTGATCAATGTAAGCGATGTCAAGAGAACACAAGGGATAACAATATTCCATACATAGAAGAAACTTCTTCTTTGTACAAACAATTTCAGTACTAAATCAGTTTGTTTAGTATTCAATTTTTCATGATTAGTAAGAATATTTTGTGATGCTTGTGTTATTGATGGTGTTGTCATCGGTTTCCAAACAGTCAAAAGATCAGTTGAACGATGAGTGTAGGATAATGAAGCTTTAATCAACATCCAATCTGTACTATCCCAATAAGATGATGTGTCTAATGCATGCTTAGTGAGATAATCTTCATCCGTATTATTAATACATTTATTCTCTTCAGTATTCATTATTTCTTTATTTAAATATTCTTTGGAATGATTCATCAACATTTCATTGTATAGCTCTGAAGATGAATGTTTCCAATTCATTGGTATTGTTGAATTATCATGTGGATAAATTTGAAACTGATATTCAATCCAATCAGATTGATATATCCATGAACCAAATTGTATTTCACAATTTTGATGATCAAATGGAAAAAGTGTAATATCAACTTTACAAGATGTTTTCAATTGAACTGGGATTGGCCATAATACTCGACCAGAACTATGCACTAGAGCATAAATGCCTTCTAAGAAACCAGAATTCATATGATCAGCACTGTATTTAAAAGAAATAAAATGACAAATATATTTTACAATGCAATAGGTAAATCCTAGATAAATTCATGTTGTTTTATGTTGTCTAGTAGTCGAATCGAGAGAATGCGTTAACTTGAGCTGGTTGCCTTCATGTAAAGGTAAGAAAAACGACTTAGATCACAAATTTCACGTTATATGTTACTACTCTCAGGTATTACTGTGAAAGACGTTGCAATTTAATCTAATGTAAGACTTGATTTAAAGCGTCTTCATTCTTCATACTTGTCAGTAGGGCGTATCTGTAACCATGAGTCAACTGGTTTCCAATCAATACTGCAAACCGGTGTAACATATTGGCGATGTATTGAGGCCAAGACTGATATGCTACTCGACTGAAGCATGATGACATCATCAATCACCAGAGAGTAAGCGATGCAACCATCTTGTCCTTAGTGGTCAGCACCAATCGAACTCCCAACACACAACGCCAAAATATAGCTCAATACAAAGTTGCATCACCTTGATTAGTGGTCACACTGAAAACTTCAGTTGGGAAAATATTTCTGTCTATAAAAAATGACTCTTTCATTTCACTTGTGAGCACTGTGCTTTAATTTTGCGTTAATCTGGACATCATGTCGACAGTATTATTCATTTCCTCTGGGAGGTGTTCAGCTGATAAGTTCTAAGAAGGGACGAAAGTTGTGTATGGTATTCAGCTGTCAATTACCCCCTAAATAAGCTCACAGGTAATAGCAAGGGGGACATTTGTTAACACAGGATGATCCATTGGGCTTTTGTATAAATAATAAGTACATTAACTGTTTTTCTGCTACACAGTAGATGTCAATATATCCAGAATATTTTATGCTGAACACGAACGCATTGAGTCTCAGAACGCTTAATAATTGAAAACTAGCAATCAAATGCCGCAGGTTAAATGAAAAATATAAGGGCTAACTCAGTACCTATCGATCAAAATCAACGAAGATTTGACCAAATGCGGATTTACACTGTTACCTCTAGGAGACACCGAACTCTTGTCGAGTTCTTTTTTCGCTTGCGATTTGGTTACTGGTTGTTACTGCTTTCAGATATTCCTAGACTCCATATTTATCTTGAAAAACGTACTTTATTTTTGTTACTACTGTATAGCTCGATTCCAGAGTTTTTGACTGACACCCTATCCATCTATATATGCTTTATAGTCCGGGAATAACTGCTGGCTAGATGAAATCAGTTATTGTATATTATTTTATTTTTTGTGTTTGAAATCGGTTGTCTTGCTTTTATAAAGCATGATGCGTTATGGTCAAGTAATTTTGTTGTATATACAGATGAATAAGATCGCCTCAAAATGTATATACGGAGAATAAGCATCAGACTTCATGTTCTATTGTAAGCTATTAGGAGGGTGGGATTGTGTAACTCATCACTTGGGCTAACTGAATTTGCAAAACTGGCCAAGTATATATGAAAACAATCGCGTGCTTAAGACAATTTCAGCCAGGCTACTGACTACCGTGGTAATTTCTGTTCGTATACCACCAAACTTCTACCTCTACGAACAAACCTCAATGACCCAAGAGAAAATTATGCAAAGTCCAAATGAAGAAGAACATTTATTCAACCAAACAAATGAGTTCGATTATCATTTGACTATCTGAGATAGCTGTAGTTTAGCAGACTAGTATTTATAACGAGTGATGGTTGAAGGTGAAATCAAAATTTGGGCCCGGTGGTCGCTGGTTTGAATCTGACCGAGGTCCAAATTTTCATTTTACCTTCAATCATCACCCAGTATAAATGAGTTTGAGTAGATACAATGTTTACAACTGGAATGTAACTGATTTCATATTGTCCAGATCTAAGTGCTGACCAGGTTAACGGAAGTGTTAGCTAGTATTTGGGAATCAAATACGATCCCCTCCGACTGGTCTAAGTCACTCATCATCCCAGTCTTCAAGAAAGGCGAGAAGTCCTCTTGTGATAACCACAGAGGAATCAGCCTGAAAACATAGTGTCTAAGATCCTAAGTTCTATAATTCTCCGACGCCTGAGTGGAGCTCGGGAACAGCAAGCCCGAGAAAACCAGGCAGGCTTTAGACCTGGCCGTGGATGTATCGACCAAATATTCACACTGCGCCAGGTCCTGGAACATAGGCATGCTTACAGACGCCCGACAATAGCTGTATTTCTCGACCTGAAGGCGGCATTTGACTCCGTTGATCGAGAAGTCTTATGGCAGTGTCTGTCACTGAAAGGCGTGCCTAGTAAGTACATCACCTTATTGAAAGCTCTCTACTCGAACACTTGTGGGCATGTTAGAGCCTATGGTGAGTTGTCCAGGGAGCTATACTCATCAAGTGGTGTCCGTCAAGGATGCCCACTATCCCCATTCTTATTTAATTTTATCATAGATATTCTTATGGAGGTTTCCCTCTCGTCACCTAATTACAAAGACGTTGACCCGATCACAGGTGAATTTTCTTTAGATCTAGAATATGCAGATGACATAGTCCTGTTAGGTGAAGACGCTGACAAGATGCAGAGTCTTCTGAACACTTTGAGTGGGAATTTGAGAATGTTTGGGATGCGATTTTCACCACCCAAATGCAAATTTTTGCTCCAGGACTGGTCTTCAGCGGTACCGCGGTTAACAATAGAGAGTGAAGTGGTTGAGTGTGTTGACCACTTCACTTACCTGGGAAGTAGGATCAACCCGGTGGGTTAGTTGCCGATGAGATTTCTGCACGGATACAAAAGGCTCGATTGGCTTTTGCCAATTTGCGCCACCTATGGCGCCGCCGTGATATTCGTTTGTCTATTAAGGGTCGCGTGTACTGCACAGCAGTCCGCTCTGTTCTACTGTATGGCTGTGAAACATGGCCATTGAAAGTGGAGGGATAAAAAGGCTTCAGGTGTTTGACCACCGTTGCCTTCGTAGTATAGGACGTATTCCGTGGTGTCACCATGTGAGTAATGCAGAAGTTAGGTGTAGAGTTTTGGGGAGAAGAGGTAAGTCAGTCGACGAGGTTGTGAACCTTCATCGACTGAGATGGTTGGGACACGTACTACGTATGCCTAGTCACCGATTGCCTCGTCACACAATGTTGGCTGAGGTGGGTCCAGGCTGGAAAAAGGCCCGAGGTGGCCAGACTAAAACATGGCACCAATGTATGAAGTCTCTGACTGTTGGTTTAAGCCATGTAGGACGATGCAGACTAGGTGGTTGGGGTCCACGGGACAAGAGGAACCAGTGGTTGGAGACCCTAGGTGATATGGCTCAGAACCGAAGTCAGTGGCGCAGATGTATACACACATTATCCTCATCTTAACAACGCTATACCGAATCTCACTATTTTGTCACTCCTCTTTCCTTTCTTTTCGTACTTTATATTTCTTTTGACTGCATTCACTTATCTTCATCCTTCACCTCACTACCTTTTTACTTGATGTGCTGATATGAGGTGTGGCAACTCGGACCGTTACGCAGTAATGCCTGGTCCTATGTTGATAGTGAAATGAAATGAAAGTGCTGACCGAATTCTGTCAGTTATTTTGTATGAAGATCAATAAGCCAGAAGACTCAGTATAGTGAGACACTGATTGGTGTTAGGGGGTTGCAGGCAATGCGTAGGTAGCCTTTGCTAGACAGAGGTTTCATGATCACCAAAGTATCTCTGAAACCTTGAGGAGATTAGTCATATTTTTCTTATGTCACATGTGGAAAGTCGACCTGAATATTATCAAAGTACACTCTCCGGAATGTAAACTATGTCTAAAATTGAATACTTGTTTGAATTTTTGTCCTTCTTCACCAAATATTTATCCTTGGTAGCTAACTTGACGATTATTCAAAATGAGTTTTGTGATAGTTTTTCTCATGGTTATTTGGTGAGTCAAAACTTGAAGTAACAAAAGAGCCAATATGATGTGACAAAAAACTGCAAATTTTCAAATAATTTCCGTTTAATATTGTGTTTGAGTGACTTTAAAGGCTACCTTAGCAACAAACGAAACAACCAATCAAACTTCTTTATCTTACACAAATCTGCCTTTCTAGTCAAAATGAAGAAACATAATTGATCATTTAATTCGCTGAAATGGTGAAGAATATTTATCGCTCAGATGGGATGATCTTGGTTGTATTGTGTTCTTTGAGCTGGGCTACTTAATCAAGACTACATCATCAGCACTAATTCATGTACTGATTGGTCAGGGGAGTGCAACCAATTCCATATTGTCTAGTCCTGAGTGCAGACCGATAGGATCGATAGGATTCGGTCTGCACTCAGGACTAGACGACATGGAATTGGTTGCACTCCCCTGACCAATCAATACATGTAAGCCAGTCCTACAGCAGGTCAACTGCTGCCCGAACGGCTCATTGGTGAAGTCGCTGACTACAATACTCGGTGACGTGGATTCAAATCTCAGGCGGGACGTCAGTTCCATCGAGGTTGCAGATACGCCTTTGCTGACGAGTGCCAAAAAGCACGAAACCTAAGTCCAGGGCTTCCTGCCGATTGTCTCTAACCAACTAGCACTAACTTCAGTATGAAATGAGCTGTCAATATCTCTCCGTGAGTCATTCAGTTCAGTAGCTTGCCCTAACCAACTGCTTCGTGATTGGTTGTTCCCTTTGATTGTTGTGTCACTGACTGCATAGATTTTCCTGTTGGCTGTCCCTCTGCTTGACCTCTGACCTTTCTGTCGTTTATCATTTTTCTCATTGGTTGATAGATTGGGTCTATGTCCATACATCTATTGATTGCTGACTGACTGACTGACTGACTGACCGACCGACCTGAATGCCAAGCTTCTAGGAATTCTCCCATATATATTTTTGGTGTTTCCTCTCTCCGTCCAGAATTTCTACATTGTCAAAATCGAATTCATTTCCATAGTTGTTATCCACGTGCGTTGAAATGAGTGATGAAATGTCGTGATGTTTAGTAGCCGATGGGTGTTCATGTAGACGAAGGCGAAGAGGGAGACCACTCTGTCTAATGTAGTGTTGACTACAGTCATTGCAGTTGATTTTGTAAATGATATTCAGTTTGTCTTCTTTGTTTCTTGCATCCTTTGGTCTACATCATAGTGTTTGGAGGGAGTTTGTTGGTTAATGAGCCACACCAATTGCACCAAGTGACCTCAGTAATCTTGTCATGATTTCTGATATATTCTTTATGTACGGTAGGATGATGGGTTTATTGATTTCTGTCGATGGCTTTGTAGTTGATGTTGTAGGGGATAGGTATCTTGTAATAAAGTTTTGTGGGTAGTCGTTCTTCTTTGGGATGAACATGAAGTAATTTTCTTCATTTCTCCATGAAGTTTTTGTACTGTTGTGTTCTCTCTCTTTAGAATAGAGTCTGCATGCATCTAATTTTGTGCGTCATTACATAGCTCATGTCAATGAGCGTGGATAATTATGGATATGGACTGAATTTCGACAATGTGGAAATTTTGTACGGAAAGAGGAAACACCAAAAATATATAAGAGAGAATTCCTAGAAGCTTGGCATTCAGGTCGGTCAGTCAGTTAGCAATCAATAGATGTATGGACATAGACCCAATCTATCAACCAATGAGAAAAATGATAAACGACAGAAAGGTCAGAGGTCAAGCAGAGGGACAGCCAACAGGAAAATCTATGCAGTCAGTGGCACAACAATCAAAGGGAACAACCAATCACGAAGCAGTTGGTTAGGGCAAGCTACTGAACTGAATGACTCACGGAGAGATATTGACAGCTCATTTCATACTGAAGTTAGTGCTGATGTTGTCGTCTAGGAAGACGACGAAAGCTCCACGATTAAGCAACCCAGCTCAAAGAACACATGCAACCAAGATTTAATTCATAGCTAAGATGGCTTTTAAAGTCACTCACTGTGTTCGATTTACTCACTATCAGGCAGTTGTTGTTTAGTTTATCATCTACACGTAAAAATGTTTCTACTTTTGATACCTAATCACACTTTAAACTAATTTTGTTTTACTTTTTCTCAGTTTCGAAATTTGTCCTAATTCTAAGACAATTCAAAACCTTCAGACATCTATCAGTAGACGCTATACATATAGAAATATTGTGAAAATGAAACAGTTTTACATCAATTCAACATTCAATACTTCGTGTCCTTGTGAGTATTGTTTGTATGTGAGTGGAAATTTACGGTAATGACAATCGATCGATCCAAAATGTTGGTCAAAATTACATAACACAATAAATGTAAGACCTATACTGGATGGAACGATTTTTCCTTCAGGTCTTACTTTGCCAGGAAAGTTTACTCGATAGTGTGACCTTGTAACTGACATACCGTTTACTGGAGCCTAAGAGTGAAATTGAACTGCTAAATGAACCAGGGTGCAACATCAGCAAAGTAGTTTCCATACTGCTTCCCCTCTTTGAAAGGAAGAGTTTGAAGGCCTTAAGTCTAAAACTAACCTACTCTTCCTTGGACTCAGCTCTTTGGGTATAGGTTGTACAGGATTTTTCTGTCTGACAGTAATACAATCAAGCTTCATTTTAAAGCTCTGAAATAGGCTGTATGTGACCAGACTGAATCAGATATTTCTTGTATACTGTGGTGATACATCACTATCACTAACTCAATTCCTTTGTCAGGCATATGAGGAAGAATTAAATGTTGACGGTGTAGTCAGTCAGGAGGATATAACCACCATCAAAACTCTTCATCCCTTGATAACTGCTCTGGATAACAGAACGTCATCTCTAGTCCCATAAAACCACGCTCATAACTCTATATTGGAGCTTTCATTGTCAAAACTCATCATTGAATTGGATAAAAAGCTTTGCTAGTCAAAACTGTGACATACAGGACTATTGGCATATGCTGAGTTTTTGAGATATGCATACAGGATCTAAGTGTGGTTATTCACTTAAACCTATATTTCCAATTGGATGAATCCGCCAAATTCAAGTTTTTGTAGATTCAGTTTTGTAAGTGCATATTTGGCGTTAAGTGGTAGGACAGAATTCGCGTTGCTTGACTGGATACTATAACATTCTTCTGTGTGATATTTGAGTGAATGGTACAGTGGGATTAAAAAGAGCAGTGGGACTCACCTTCGCCTCCTTGTAGACTCTGTCTCTTGAAGAGACTGAGAGGGTATCGGCGATAGGTAACAGCAGACAGTGATTTAGAATGATCAAGAAAACTAGGACAAAAAAGTGGATGGCCAGAGAGATTATAGTGGAAAAGGATGGGTCTGCGATTCACTCACGAGGGAAAAAACTGGAATATTGGGACCTCCAGCTTGATTTCCACTTCCTGCTATCCAGTCGGATCCTTAATGGGACATTGACTTAGGGTCTCCAACCGCTGAAGAAGTTGAGAGGGCTCTAAGTAACATGTAACCTAGTAGAGTTGAACACCCTCATGTGGTAGCTATCCCTTGAAGCATTTAAGGATGATACTGGAGGATTATTATTTATCTCGTTGCCTACGAGAACTAAGCATGTCCTTATTTTTCGCAAACATAAAAGTCGGTGATTAAAAGTTACCTTAATTCAAGAAGACGAGATATGAAAACCTGAGTGGGTAAGAAATAATGCAAGACAAAATAAGCAGAATTGCCATCACCTAAATATTTGACAGAAAGCAAAAGAAATGAAGTTAAGCTTTATAGGTAAGAGGATTCCATACCTGAGGTAGTCGGTTCTGTTTAGAAATGAAACAATAAGACTTTGACTTTCAGAGATGAATCAATTTTGAATTCTTCTTTTTCATCTTCGGATAATGTAAAGAGGAATTTGGATTAGAAAAAAGAGGAGGCAAAATAATCATTGGATTACACATACTTAAATTAACTTACAGCATGAATAAGCAGATTCTGAGTGCCAAGTGCTTTGATTTCTGAAATTTTTATTGAAGAAACTCTTTCAGATAAAATTCTAACCTACCTCTGGAATCATGTTTTGCCCATAGAAGTAAACATAACTTCCATTCTAATGAAATAAAAAAACCCTTTAAATGATTCATAAACACTAAACATCATGAAGTAATGGGATGACTATTTGTCAATTCTATCACAGTTTTGCTACATCCCAGGATCTTATAAAACTGACTGACAAAATCGACGTAGAACCTCGCAAACAAGTGCACTGGCTCTAGTTGCTACACTTCATAGTCGTACGTAAAGAACAGATAGATAGAAAAAGAAAAAAAATTGTAGAAGAAAATAAACAATCCAAACGGTTACTGAGAATATTCAAGCATGATGAAGGTGTCAGGGAGTGAATACACCTGCACCACTGTGACAGATTTCCGGTCATGTCATAAAGAGTCCTAAGCCACCGTTTTCTTTCGTCTCAGCAACCCTAACCAGGTAGTATACAGCAACTCACACAGCTCAGAACAACGGTAAGAGACTTCATGCACTGGTGCCAGGTCTTGGTCTGGTCACTTTGAACCCTCTTCCAACCTAATCTAACTTTCCATAGCGTAGCATGTCAAGGTAGGTGGGGGCTTGGCATGCACTGTCCATGCCCAAGCCATCTCAGTCGAATAAGGTTCAAAACCTTGCCTGTCGACTTGCCCATCTTACCTAGTACCCTTCACCTGAACTCACTATTGCTCACATGGTGATTCCACTTCATCCAATCAATGCCATGAGTACATCTGTGATCAAAACACTGTAATCGGTTCAGGTCTTTTATTTTCAGTGGCCATATCTCACAGTCGTATAACAGGACAGAACGAACTGTAGCTCAGTATACTCATCCTTTGATGGACAGTCAGATATCTCGTCAGTCAGCATCACAGATGGCATAAGTTGAAGGAATAGTAATTTTATGTCTAAAATATTATTAGCCACTAAGCAACTGTTAGAAGCTGTGTAAATAGTGCTGAATCACACAGGATACAAGATTTGTTCGATACTCAAGATGAAAACTGAATTTGGAGGTTTGTGGGGATTTAGAGATTTCTCAGGTTGTTATTCACCAAGGACTAACACCAGTTGGAGGAACATTAGTAGTCTGGGAACACTTGAAATTTGTTTCGTCCTAGTATGGAACTCCTCAGCAGTGCACACCCACGACCCCGTTAGAGGTCAAACCCAGACCTTCAGGTTCTTTGCTCAACACGTTACTGTTGAGCCATAGATTCATATCCCCAAATTCTGTCGGTTCATGATATAGCACGACCATCACCCAAAGTCATCGTTGAGTATTTGTCCTCATGTCCACCAGGTTTACCCCATCGGTCATAACTTCTCACTGAAATTTGGGAATCACCTCCCGAAGATAGTCATCAATTCACTTAACCGATGAAATTAGGTTGAACTCTCATGAAATCAATATTCGAATGCAATCGAAATGCACTCAACAATCTTGTGCACATTCAGGCATTAAGCAATGAGTCACACCTATTGCTGCCTAAACCTCAGTAGGTGGAGCAGGGTTTAAACTTGACGCACTGATGGAAAATCAACTGCCTTAACCGAGGAGCCATGATTCCAATATTAAACTAATAGCAGAAAATTGAAAAGAGCAACATTACTGATGAATGGCATGATCGGGGAATCACTGAATAAGGATGTTACACCTAAATTCCTGGAGTGACCTGCTTTGAAGTTTCTTTGGCGATTGAATTGGTTTTTCGGGGTAGGGTTGTTGACCGTTTGCCCAACCTTAACTCTTTATCCGGGCTTAGGACCGGCTATTAACTAGTGAACTAGTTACTTAGATGAGGTTAAATTATTGCATAATAGTTGATAATACGCAACAAGTGGATAGAATGAAAGGGTTAGACGGAGAGGGGGAACTTTTGAAATGCTAGGGATTAAGATCATGAAAGGAGAAAGGGTTGAACAAATCTATTTTACATGCAAAACACTTCCTATTCTATTTGAAAAAAAGCAGGCTGATACTCACTGACTTTAGCAAGTTTCTTTTCAATTTGGAAATAACTTTGGTAGAGGTGATTGTTGAAATTGAATGACAACTGACAACTAGATAGGTATTCGATCAACCCACTTCTAATAGATCTACTGGTACCTCTTTTTATCCAAGCAGCTTGGTGTTTTTGGAACCCTTTTGGACAGAACCTGTGTCTAAATGCTTTCACCTGTCAGCTAAATTGTACATTCTCCTCAAATCACCTTAACGAATGAAACCGCTGAATTCGTCTCTTCACTAAAACACTTTTTCATTCTCACAGATTAAACGAGTGGAAAAAGGGTATATATTTGTAGATAATAGGGTAAATGATCAATATAATAAAGTGATCGTAATGAATTTTTCTTCGAAAAATCAAACAACTTAGTAAAATGATTGAAGTTGATGATACTACTTGCAAACAACAAGTAACCTAAAATTTAAAGCATAAAAGATCATCTAGTTAAAAATACAGCCTCAAAGTAGCATAGAAAACGAAATTCTACTAACAGCATAGATATACAAATCAGAATTCACCAAGTAATATATTAAAACTTTTACCAGTACATTCTGGGTTCAAGCATCAGTGTTAAAAATTTCTTAGACACTAATACACTTAACTGGTGAGCATCATACAGTTAAAGATTACCAATCAAGATCAAGCGTTAAACCAAATTAGTGTTGGCAAAAATAGCAATATGAAATTGATTAAAACTTATTAAGAAAGTTTATTGGTCAATTGTTCACTTGATATATCAATGTGAAGGTATAGCTCAATGGTTTAGGAAGATGATGTCCAACGAATAGGTGGCAAGTTCGAACCCCGTCCCACCTACCAGCGGTTGAGCAACCAAGTAGTAACATTAGCCCTCACTCAATAGATGTGGCTCACTGCCAACTCTACGAATATGCACTAGGTTGGTGAATGAGTATCCACTCAGTTCGACTGGATGATATGTTTATAAGGAATATTAAGCAAAATACTATTCTTAGGGGGTTGTGGAGATTTGGAAATATTTCAAGTTGTTATTCATCGTAGACTGACATCAGTTGGAGGAACAAAGGAAACCTGGGAGCACTGGACAGCTGTCTCGTCCTAGTATGGGACTCCTCAGCAGTGCGCACCCACGACCCCACCAGCAGGGATCGAACCCGCGACCTTCAGGTTCCGCGACCAGCGCGTTACCATCGAGCCACTGGGTCACAATCCAATGCTCCATATTTCCAACTTCTGTTAGCTCACGATATAGCGCAAACCGCCACCTAATGTCATCGTTGAGTATTTGTCCTCACGGCCATCAGGCTTGACTCCACCGGTCACGACTTGTCATTGGAACTTCGGGAATACTTCTCGAAGCTAGTCACCAACGAGCACTAGTTCAATTAAATTTTGAGGGGGTTGTGGAGATTTGGAAATATTTCAAGTTGTTATTCATCGTAGACTGACATCAGTTGGTGCTCCCAGTGCTCCCAGGTTTCCTTTGTTCCTCCAACTGATGTCAGTCTACGATGAATAACAACTTGAAATATTTCCAAATCTCCACAACCCCCACAAAATTTAATTGAACTAGTGCTCGTTGGTGACTAGCTTCGAGAAGTATTCCCGAAGTTCCAATGACAAGTCGTGACCGGTGGAGTCAAGCCTGATGGCCGTGAGGACAAATACTCAACGATGACATTGGGTGGCGGTTTGCGCTATATCGTGAGCTAACAGAAGTTGGAAATATGGAGCATTGGATTCTGACCCAGTGGCTCAATGGTAACGCGCTGGTCGCGGAACCTGAAGGTCGCGGGTTCGATCCCTGCTGGTGGGGTCGTGGGTGCGCACTGCTGAGGAGTCCCATACTAGGACGAAACAGCTGTCCAGTGCTCCCAGGTTTCCTTTGTTCCTCCAACTGATGTCAGTCTTCGATGAATAACAACTTGAAATATTTCCAAATCTCCACAACCCCCTAAGAATAGTATTTTGCTTAATATTCCTTATAAACATATCATCCAGTCGAACTGAGTGGATACTCATTCACCAACCTAGTGCATATTCGTAGAGTTGGCAGTGAGCACCATCTATTGAGTGAGGGCTAATGTTACTACTTGGTTGCTCAACCGCTGGTAGGTGGGACGGGGTTCGAACTTGCCACCTATTCGTTGGACATCATCTTCCTAAACCATTGAGCTATACCTTCACATTGATATATCAAGTGAACAATTGACCAATAAACTTTCTTAATAAGTTTTAATCAATTTCATATTGCTATTTTTGCCAACACTAATTTGGTTTAACGCTTGATCTTGATTGGTAATCTTTAACTGTATGATGCTCACCAGTTAAGTGTATTAGTGTCTAAGAAATTTTTAACACTGATGCTTGAACCCAGAATGTACTGGTAAAAGTTTTAATATATTACTTGGTGAATTCTGATTTGTATATCTATGCTGTTAGTAGAATTTCGTTTTCTATGCTACTTTGAGGCTGTATTTTTAACTAGATGATCTTTTATGCTTTAAATTTTAGGTTACTTGTTGTTTGCAAGTAGTATCATCAACTTCAATCATTTTACTAAGTTGTTTGATTTTTCGAAGAAAAATTCATTACGATCACTTTATTATATTGATCATTTACCCTATTAACTACAAATATATACCCTTTTTCCACTCGTTTAATCTGTGAGAATGAAAAAGTGTTTTAGTGAAGAGACGAATTCAGCGGTTTCATTCGTTAAGGTGATTTGAGGAGAATGTACAATTTAGCTGACAGGTGAAAGCATTTAGACACAGGTTCTGTCCAAAAGGGTTCCAAAAACACCAAGCTGCTTGGATAAAAAGAGGTACCAGTAGATCTATTAGAAGTGG